GTAATCGAAAAACCAAATCATAATTTGACCGTATTTGGAAAAGATAAAATAAGCAATTGGTTTAGGGGTAAGAGTTTTAAAAAATCCACAAAAGATGAATCAGAATAGTCAAACAACATAGGGATATTAAAAATCTAATGAAACAAATTAAAGAAGAGATAGTATGTTAAGACAGCAGTATATATGTAGAACGTCAAACAATATGTACAGTATGTCTTAAACAGTGTCGTTTTAAAATAACAGCCATAACAACACTGATCGTGATTAAAATCAGTTAGCGCAAAAAGAATGCTAAATAATTAATAAGGCTATTTTGTAGATTTTCAAGAATCATTAGACAGAAGTGATGATGTGCATATCTAATGAAATCTAATATAGTATTTAGCAATCTAACCGTTCGTGAAACGCACTGAGACCAATCTCTCAAAGCACTTTAGCTGTTAAAAATAATTTTAAGAGATTAGATAAAAGCTCAGCCCCTAAAAATGGTCGATATGACTAAAATAAAATAGAATTGTTAATAATGATAATAATGGTATTTGCATGGATGAATTTGGTATTGTGATAAAATAGCAAGAAATAACCTGGAAAAGGAAAGGCAGCATGGTAAAAATATCAAACTTATATCCAGTTTTATTTTGTCTGAAACCTGACATCAATTAAGGTATTTCAGATAAATTCAATATTGGAATAACCGGGCGAGATTGAAACGCAATACGGGAAAGTTTCTTGGCTAATTTAGAAACACTCACAGTCGGTTGAATGGTAGTCACTATAGAGTCACGGAGCAACAGCGGAGGTAGCACAATGACGCAAATAGCACAATAACGCAATAAGGTTACTGGGTAATCGGTTACTGCAACGTAATTCTCTCGATTATGATACAGTGTGGAGGTCTACATCTGCTACATAAATGTGATAGCAACTATCAAAAGAAACTCTTTTCCTATACTTTTTGAGATCAAGTTATACGTGACCAACGTAGATCTCGTCTAATTCAGAGAATTTTTTTAAAAACATATAGTAAGCTACCGATCAATCATGCCCACAGCGGATATGCCTCACAACCACTTAAAACACACCAAAAGAAAAATGTCTGTCATTCATCCAACATTATATAAGTAATAAGTATAGGTTTTGGTACAAGCTGATTGCCATCAGGCAGAAAACTCCTACAATGACGCACAACAGGCGTGACACCATTGGCTGTTACATAACATGAAGGAAATGGAAGCAATGACTCAAGCCACCAGAATTTATTCGATTCTGCACTGTCACAACAGAAACCACGCTAGGCTGTCACCTTGATCGCTAAATGAATCTTATAAAACAGCCTAAAACCCCACTAGTCAACCATAATGCAGATAATAAATAAACAAATAACGACAGGAATTAAATAAAATCGCCGTATATCATTTACACGCTATACTGTTTTATTTCACCAAGGCCGGTGTCTCAAAAGATAAACGTATACGCAAAGGGTTTTACCCAAGATATCAGGGTGAAAAGGTCTGGAGAAAGGTCCCTAAAAGCTGACCAACTACATATCTGAAGGAAAGGTGGTGTTCTCGGTAGCTGGGAAACATGGTATTAATTAAAAGGATATTAGCAATAAAGTCAGTTGTAAAGGCACAAAATATACTTATTTGAATCTAGAACCCTATGTGGGCCGGAATGGGCCAAGTTTGCAAACACGTTGACCATTCATCATTGTTCTGGCACAACTTTCAGTTATGTTTTCACAATCAGAAAGCGGGAACGGATGTAAACATGATTTTAAAACGAAAGAGGATATTTTATAAAATGCTCATAACATACCATGACAACGTAAGATCTATGATAGCAAGAAAGGAGGGGAAATTTCGTTACGTTATGTACGAATAAATTACGAGAGAATGGTAAATTGAAAGGAAAAAAAACAATGGCGTTCAATCGACATTACCGGGGAGAGCCGCGTCTGTCCCTGTGTCACCCAATGGCAGGCGGACGAGGAGAGGAAACCCAGCTTGTGGATAAATAATAGTTGTGAACACATGCACCGAATGGCTATTTCATACAACGGACAAAATAGCAGAAACAGACTGAAAAGAGCTATGACTATGACAACATCAAGAATCTCCTTATGAGCATCCCTTAGGTCTATCAGTAAAGAGCGTCTTTTGAACCACCAAATCTCCTTAAAAGTTTTTTTTGCGTTGTAGTAGTTGAAGTGGAGACAAACTAACAGTAGAATCCCAAATACATCGGGGACAAAGTTTAGCAATACAAAGTCACTGGTGGTAAACGGTTATCTTCATCGACAGTGACCACCATTTGCCTTATATCGCCATAAATAGCTCTCCAAGATAACATTTATAAGTATATTTTGATAAGAGATAAGCCAAAAATATTTTTAGAAGAAATCATCAAATACTTATAATTATGTCTAACGCTTAACGCCGATTTTACTAGTTAAATACCCATTTATGCGAATCGATTGTCTGGTACATGTATTCTTGGACGAATCATTTTATTCGTCTAGTATATATTTATACTCAGTTCACATTCAAGTCGTATTGGCATATATATCACAAGAAAAACCGAAAAAGGACTGTGGCGTTAAATTACTTGGACATGTTTGGACCATTAACATGATACCATCCAGCTCATGAAGGAAATTGTCATAATCTCCATTATGTTCATTTCCCAAATTGATCGCTTATATAATTGACCAAAAGATTTACAGAGAATTACAAAAATCCATAGGCGTATACTTAAACATTTATTTTCCTATGTCAGAAAAATTAATACGACAGGCATGGCCTTTTCATCCCCATTCTCTTATAGCAACACTTAAATTGACCGCTGGGCGACCATTATATCATGACATGACGTCACTTGTCATCTAAAAAGATCATCACCCAATTACTCCGCCGGGAGCAAGCTAATCACAGATTTGCGTGCAGGGCCTGCGCAACCTTAGGTTATGAGTTAACTACATGTTTTGAAATCGTCAGGTTTAGTGAAGCTGCCATCTAGACACTCATCCTAAAACGGACTGCCCCTGATCAGCTGTCTCCCTTTTAAAAACCAACCTCGTAATCCATTGTTTTCGGTGGTTTTCTTCATAGTATTTTTTAAAAAGAAACAGATATACAGGACTTTGGGGTTAAAAATACAAAAAATAAGGACACAGAAACTGAAATTTAAAGGGATAATAACTCTTCGTTTTGGCCAAAAAATGAATTTTCCTGGAGTAAACAACAATTTTCCCATACTTACCAATGGTTAATGAATCCATTTTTACATTCAAAGTTAGTCCCTGTTTTTTTCTAAAAAGTTTGTTTTTTGTTAAAATCTCTTAAGAGATTATAACAGAGTATAGCCATCAATGGAGGTCACGTGGTCTGAAGACATGCTCAGATATCAGAATAATAGCTATAACTGCTGTTTTTGTCGTAAAACAGAATATATTATATTTCTGTGAGTTTTTATTGTGAAATATAGACCTCATACGAGTTATTATCCCTTTAAGTGTTGGGGTTTATATTTTATATTTTAAGGAAATATTTGGCTTTACAAAGTGCGTGACTTGACGTGGTTGAAAGGAGAAACAAGGGGATGACACCCCCCTCCCAACCACACACACACATACACCGCCCCTTCTTCCCTCTACATGTACGCCTGTGAATAGACAATATTTTATGCCTTTAATCAAAAATCCTGTTTTACCCCTTTTCATACTTTCAGATACAGTAGGCCTAATGCCCTAGAGATGATCGCCCGTAATTTCCATGTGCTCTTTTTTCCAGAGATATTATTGATCGTTACGTCTTTACAGTATCCTGCAGCATTGACGATGAAGATAATGTGTGGTTCATAATGTTCGGCGCTGCATTCTCTGTCGTCTTTTAAAAACAATAAAATAATTCACAAAGGCGAATTTATCCCAACAGGGCGTGACATGAACAATCAAGGCGGGCAATGCATTATATTTATCTTTAAAATCATATATTATTGGTTATCATTTTCAGGTGAAACGTAACACATATATCAGTGGCGGATTGAGAGGGGGGATCGGAGGGTTCCTACCCCCCCCCCCCTTTCGATTTCTGGTCCCCTCTTGAAATGAGAATTTTGACTAGCTGAATCATAGAGCTAATTCTAAACCGTACCAAATGGCACCGTTCGCCCTCTAAAATACCAAAAATTTTGGATGCCCCGAACCCCACGCCAATGTGGGGGAGGCGGGGGGGGGGGGGGGGGGTGGGGCGACCGGGAGGGAGGGTCGGCTTCGCATCTGCGGACCCCCCCCCCCCTTCAAATAATATCGGATCCGCCCCTGTATATCCAGGTTTGATATCACAATTAGTCATTTTCTTTTCAAACCAGTGACCACTGACCATAGAGGAACGGAATGGGGAGGGTGCCCCACAGCAGCGTACAGTTTGTAGAGGTATGCGAAGACTTGGAAAAACCGAAAGACGGGGGATATGTGGGCAGAGGGGGGGGGGGGGGGGGGGGGGGGGGGGGGGGGGACAAAAAGGAAAAAAGAAAAAATTTTT